AGACATCTGACTGAGTAGATTAGGGGAACAGAACAAAATGAATGTGGTCCTGTTAGCATGGATGGACTTAGGGCATTGTGAGGATGAATGTATGTATGAAATAAAGCCTGCATCTCAAAAAGAGAACAAAGAAAAGTTCTTTCGGCTTTGAATCTCCTGAAAACGCTAATAAACAAGTACCTAATAACATGACAGATTTCTTTTTAATTGATACAGTAGAAAGGAACACTTGCTCTCAGGTCAGAAAATGTGAAGATGATCTTGAAAGCTAATAGATGCTAAAGCAAGTCTCCAATAAAAACAGACATTCCTTTATTCCACAGTGTGGAAATTCAGAGGAAAAAATCCTGCATATGTGAGACCTTCAGCAGGTCATTTCTAGTGTGGATGTGAATTTGCATGTTTATTCATGAAGAAAGACTCTGCTTGACTTTACGTATCAAAATAGGTGGTACAGGATTAACAAAAAACGGTGTTGTTAGCCAAAGAAATCCAAGACCAAGCCTTGGACTTTTATAACTATGTTGTTTGGACACATACTGTAAGTCTGAAACTGAATTATTTGCGCAGCTAAACAAAGGACCAGTGTGAAATAACCAGGCCCGGTCAATTCATTGCATTTGCAATACAATTGCACTTTCATATTTCAGTGGCAAAACTTCTCCCTCTCCCCCCAGCCCGTTAGGTGGCAGTAATACCCTTTAAGAGGATTTGCTACCACAGAGGAGGGACGAGTGAGTTGCAGCTAGTACACAGATCCATGCTTGATAGTAGAAATAAGGTTGCAGAAAAGTCCTGCAACAATGGACTCTGGACAAGCAAGCTGTCAAGGTCATTAAAACACAGACACCCTGGAGTGAAACATCTGCGCGCCTCTGCTTAGTGCAAAGGAAAATTGTATTTAAGGCGCCATGTTGGTTAAAAACAAGCGCACTTTTTTGGCAAAATCGTTCAGCCCTAGAAATAACCTATCCTTCCTAAATAAATAAATAACATGAAGCATGTTCTCTTTACTCTCTCTTATAACATTGTTTATGGGGTATAAACAATGCATAAGAATGCTAGCAGTCAAACACTTTGAAAAACAACAACCTCTATGCCGGGATGCAGCACCGACCACATCACCACCCTAAATGGCTTGTTTTGATTTCATGAAGAATGTGTAAATAAATGCATGTTTATAACATTTCTTATTGAATATAAAGAATCCTATTTTGGCAGCTAAATTAGATAGCTACAAGTTTGTACTCCTCCTGACCAGTAGGTGGGGCTTTAATGCTCGCTCTCGTTCCAACCTTTACTTGTGCTATTTACCAAGTCTGCCGCCATTATTGGCAAACATTCAACTTGCCTTACAAGAAAGGAAAAACGGCAACCTCTTCATGGTTTCTGAGTCCTTTTGCTTCCTTAAATCAGCACCAAGTCCGTGTTTAATCAGAGATGTGAAACCAAGACGAAGCCATTTCCAGTGAGGTGATCTATTCCCATTGATGCAGAATCCATCTGTGAGAGATTACATTACTGAATCGTTGGACGATGATATAATTTTTATTTTTTTTCAAACTACAAATTAATAATGAAGTGATATGTGGAGTTTCTTCCAAATGTCCATCTGATTCAGGTTATTGAATTGTAATGGCATCTTCTTTTTCGGATGCCTTGCTTTGAACTCATCATATCTGCCATTCTTCGGTATACGAATGTGAACATTGCAAAAATGTCCCTTTTATCACAATTTTGATAATATTTTGATCATTTTACTAAAACTCACAAATTCAATCAAGTTCCTTATTTATTTACAAATGCTTCAAATAGTTCAAATCATAACATCAGTCAGTAGTTTCATTTTCCAGCGACGCTGTTATTTAATCTTATTTTGAAGCAATTACCGTTTGGTATTGTCCGCTCGATAGCTGCTGGCAGGCTTGTTAATGAAAGTAATAGATGTTTGTTAGGTAAAAGGGATGACTCCCTCGTTCTACCGAGAATTTCCCAGCTGATTATTGGAAACCCAGCCGTACAAATCTGTGTCGGAGCAGCTTGTGCGAACAGGCAGTGAATTTCCTCTGTCATTTTGTTTGAACCTTTTGGGAAAACAGAGCCTAGTGATCATAAAATGTGCATACAGATCGTAAATTAGCCAGCTGGACATGATTGTAGGGGCTGTCCGACATACAGGAGGAACTTATGGGAACTTGCCATTTTGTTGAGTTTTACATTCTATTACTTTTATCATGCATCTCCAGGACTGCATTTTAGTCAGCCTTTTCCGGATCATCTTTCTCATACTGTTTTTTTTTTCATTTGTAATTCTTTCCATTTCTGGCAGTTGAATGACGTTGGTTGTAAATAAAAAAGAAATGAGTCATATCTGCATAACCTTTTGTCAGCTCCTGATCCAAATTGCTTTGTGAGAAGGTAAGGCCTCCATGTACCTGTGTGCTGCCTGCTTTAATAGATATGCCTGTTCTTGGCCTGGAGAGCTGCAGTTTGCAGCTATATTTTAGCTCCCTGCTATTTATATATCTTTGACAGTGAACAAAGCTGCAGTTCTGCTCTCTGTTGTAGATTGATGCCCTTATGTTGATTCACCTGGGAGGGGAGCATTTTTCGTTTTCTTGCAAATAAGCGTCACGTCATGCCTTCAAAGATTCACAACCAATGCCCAGGTCTCCCAGTAGATACTTAGGGCTTTCCTGCACAGACAAAAATGTTCATCCTATGAATATTTCGAGCTTGATGGCTGAATGTTTCATCACAAACGAAGTAATATTTCTACAGATTTACCAGCAGCAAACTGGAATGTGAAAGTCATCCTGTGCTCCACACAGTGGTCACAGATGAAAAGTGAGGGTGCTGCCATTTCCTGAATATTTCACTTCTTCTTCCTCATTTCCAACCGCAAACCAGCATGTTGTCATTCTGCATGAATACACATGCCCCTTTGTTAATTGTTCAGCATAGAAGATAGCATAAAGTTGGCATACAATACTTTTGGAACTGAACTGAAATTGGACCAAATTTGTTTTTAAAATAGATTATGTTACAGCAGCCGGGAACCGACTTGGGGTGAAATGAGGTCCTGAGGATATTACATTAAAATTTGGAAATTGTACTCAAGCTTATTTAAAGACTCAAACACCAAAGGAAGGAATAAGCCTTAATATATATATATATATATATATATATATATATATATATATATATATATATATATATATATATATATATATATATATATATATATATATATATATATATATATATATATATATATATATATATATATATGCATATATATATATATATATGCATATATATATATATATATGCATATATATATATATGCATATATATATATATATATGCATATATATATATGCATATATATATATATATATGCATATATATATATGCATATATATATATATATATATATATATATATATATATATATATGCATATATATATATATATATATATATATATATATGCATATATGCATATATATATATATATATATATATATATATATATATATATATATATATATATATATATATATATATATATGCATATATATATACCATATATGCATGATTAAAATTGCTTGCCACCATGTTTTGTTTACTGCCTTAGATACAAGATGATGATAATCAGCTGTATTGTTTTTTTTCTCAATATAATTAAATAAAGCTTAACTTGATCATAATTTTCAAAAAATATTCTCTACAACTTTAGGGATTATTGGTGTCCTGAAAATCTAGTATTTTCTTAAAAAGACAGATCAGCGCTTGATAAGGCCCAGATTATTAAAGCTTGCTGTTCTGGGAGGATATGCATCCTCAAATGTTGCAGGATGAAGCGTCAAGGGCATGTTTATTTTTTTGCCTGTTGAAAAAGTCAGTGGTTTTTACTTTATATTTACCCAGGAAAACTCACGCTTTTTGTCTTGTATTGATAAAAGGCAACACGCCCATTGTTTTTCTTAGACGTGTTTGAACTAAGCTTGACTTGGCATCCTGACAGGTATGAGAACTACCCTGAGGGCTCAAGTAATCGTTTGATCTTATGTTGCAAATTTGTGTTATTGGAAGTCTCCTTATAAAACGCAGAAGGTTTCTGCACCTCCACAATCCATTTCAGCCTTTGTAAAAGAAGGAAATTCATTCAGTATTTTCATCAGCTGATAATGGGCATGAGAAAAAGCAGGACGGGGGGGGGTGCAGAAATTAATTGAACACAGTCTGAAACCCTTGAAAAAAACATGGCTACTGATGATAAACTTGTTACTTAAAGGGTCCAAAGTTGTTTTTAGTTATGGTACAGCTGTTTGATACATCCTTTAAAAACCAACTAAGCCACTGCTGGAGCATTCCTCCTTCTTGCCCCTCTTTGCTGAAAGCATTAATAGCTGGCCTGTATGCTCAATTTGGAGGTGGGCGTTGTTCTTCCATGCTGGAATCACTATTTAAATTGAGGAGAACCCATAGAAATATCTTTATTCTAAGGAATTTAGCGGTTGTCCTTCATTTTCTGTGCTAAACAAATCCAAGTATACAGTGTTTATAAAAGATGTTCTGCCCAGTATCCACATACAGCTGATGGATGGGCGTAATGTTGTGGCAGATTGTTGACTGACAGATTAGCACAGAGAATAAGGCAAGGTGCAAACAAAGGCACACCTTGAGAAAACACTTAGTTGCAATCACGCTGTCAGGATCTTTTAAGATTATGTTTGAAAATATTTACAGTATTAAATGTAGAATATAAAGTCTAAAGACATGAAGTTCAGAAAAGGTCCAAACAAAACGATACTTGAAAAGTAAAGACTTTCATTTTTACTCTGAGATAATCAGGTTTCTTTCATCAAAAGCGCAGTTACTTCAAACATTTCTGTGTCTTAAACTGAAACAGAAATTTTGGTAAAAAAAAAAAAAAGGTTAACATAAATTTTCAAACTTGATGATTGATCAAAATGCGTGTCTCTCTGCTTCCAGTCACAGAATGGGGTGATGACGTGCGGGACATTTCTGAAGAAGAAGCCATGGTCATTGTCAATCATCAGTCCACTGGGGACGTTTGCACTCTCATGATGTGCCTCCAAGACAAGGGCACGGTAAGACGCTGAGGAACGTCATTGTGTCAAGGCTGCAGAGGTGGAACATCAGTATAAATAAAAAAGCAGAGCAGCTTCTTTACACGAGTTTGAAAGCTGTATTCCAACTCGTCATAATTCATGTTATCTGACTTCCTTTTGCATTCGATTCTGGGTCATAAAGGCTTGAAACTCATCCGATGGCGTTTCTGGCTTCTGCAAAGTAGACGGAGGCCAAGTTTCCAAAACAGATTATTCTTAAATGAATAAAATTACTGTAAGTCTAGCTTCCCATAATGCAAACAGAGACCTTAAGTTATTATTTTGCTGTTGAAGATGACTTGATCTACTGTAGTTTCGTCTACTGAGTTATGTGATACAAGGTTGATTATTCCCCGCGAGGCTGCAAGTCAGTGTTTTTCTAGTTATGAAGTAAGATTGGTGGTCGTAGGAAAGGCTTTTTGTCAGACTAGTTTTTCAGAAAGAAGATGCTAAAACCACAAACTGAATTCCCTATATATTGATGTTTGTTTGACTTAAAGTTGTATTTATTATTAATTTAATTACGTTTTTCCCCAAAAATGTAAAACTTCATTGTCTTAGTTTCTGATATACAGTAAAAAAAGAAGGTATAATGTGTGTGTGAATTTTAGTTTTACGTTGTTCAAGTTAACAGATATCCAATTTTAGAACGTTTTAGTTTAGTATACATTTCAGAATGCAAGATTTTAGCACGACGCTTCAGATTTGCTGGATAACATTGAAATTTCTAAACCAACAAAGTTTAGTTCAGTCTAATTACAACTCACTAATGCTGTGGTTGCCATGTTTTCTCTCAAAATATAAATTGGCATATAAACGAAGCATCAACAAATGCATGGAAGGAATTTAAAAGATTATCAACATGTTAATTTATTTTCATGTTACAGTTGTAAACAACCAATTAAAACCTCAAAATCAGTTTTTCATAAAAAATTAAACCAGCCGACTTTTTTTAAATGAAGGCTTATCCCATATTATGCAGACTTCACTTTATAAATATTTTGTAACGGTGATATGTGTCCTAATATCTGTGTATGAGAGTCTATCCTTGCCTTTCTCCACCTCTTAGCCTTTTATGATGTCATAAGGGGCTAATAAGCTGTCCAGAGCGGTCTGTAGTAGCCCACTGGAGATTTTTTGTAAAGGCTGTCTGCCTAATATGAGAAGGATTGTCCTGCACAAACGTTAAAATCATGCTCCAGGGCCTCGTCGTTAATCATTTTTTATTTTCAAATGGTGAATAATATCGAATGTATAAATGTCCTCTTATAAAAATGTGGCTTTTCATAGTGTGTTGTACCCATACATGCTTATTACTGAAAAGTTAAAGGAATAGTACACCCAAAACATGATTAGCCTTCATTTTCTACTCACCCCCATGCTGAACAACACCCTGGAGTACTTTTTTGATATCTCAAATGCATCTGGAGATCTGGGAGGCTTCTTGCTGTCTGCTGACATTCAAATAATGGAGGTCTATGGTGCCCGAGACAGAAAGGTCCATAAAAGTCCACAAAAACGTGTCAATATTCCTCCATACTGCTCGTCCAATGTATTCCAAGTGTCCTGAGTGGGTAGCATCCAGAATTTACTCGAAACGAAGTCATTTAGAATGTTTTTAGAGCATAAACAGTAGTGTATAGGATTTCCTGAAAGCGCGCGCCAGCGCGTTCAGGAAGCTACGGAAGCCGGCAGACCAAACCAGATTAAAGTGCGCATTCAGCGTCTGCTCTGCCAATAATGCAAGCGTAGAAGAAGAAATGTGCTGTTTACCTGTGCAAAGAAAGAAACAACGAAAGAAAAATGTCTGAGGACTTCAGTGTTGAGGAAGAGCATGAGTTCTTTGCCGAGCTGAATGCGCTGGTTTGGTCTGCCGGCTTCCGTAGGCTCGTGAACGCGCTGGCGCGGGCTTTCAGGAAATACTATACACTACTGTTTATGCTCTAAAAACATTCTAAATGACTTCGTTTCGAGTAAATTCTGGATGCTACCCACTCAGGACACTTGGAATACATTGGACGAGCAGTATGGAGGAATATTGACACGTTTTTTGTGGACTTTTATGGACCTTTCTGTCTCGGGCACAATAGACCTCCATTATTTGAATGTCAGCAGACAGCAAGAAGCCTCCCAGATCTCCAGATGCATTTGAGATATCAAAAAAGTACTCCAGAGTGTTGTTCAGCATGGGGGTGAGTAGAAAATGAGGCCTAATCATGTTTTGGGTGTACTATTCCTTTAAGTGGAAGAAAGAAAGCCATCTTATATTGACTCAGTCATTTAAGCAGACAATGCCCTGACAAAATATTGAGTACATTTATAGTATAGTACAAGTACTATATAGAGATTTGTCACATATCAAATCTGCTAAGAAATATGTATAACATTTTTTGAGAGATTAAGCTTTTTGTTAAACTATCTGTAAGCTGGTATCTATGCAATTAACAAAAATAGACATACATAATATTTTATTCTGGATCTATATACGCGTTTTCTTTTATAAATCCCTGAATTAAACTTATATTGTCTGCCATTTTCATTTGTTGACAATGTGTGTGTAAATTTGATGGCATGCTCCAGCAGTTACTTCTGCATTGTGGTCGTTCATGATTTTGCTTCAGCTCATGCTGGTAAGCCACTGGAAGTGCAGAGTCACTTTGCGTAGACATGAGCGTGATGCATCTCAACCGCTGCATCCCCGGCCCACTTTATCCTCTTAGAGAGGAAAGGCCAGTAAGCCGCTGCTGCGTTTGTCTGGGTCATGCGGGCGGAAGTGATCAGAGGGGGCGATATCAGTTTGTTCTACTTTTGAGCAGAAGAAAAATAAGTGGTTGTAACAACTGAATTTCTGCTCCTTTTTTTCAGGTGGTGCGAAAAATGATGTGGTTAATGGACCATGTGTTTAAATACACCAATTTTGGTCTAGTGTCCCTGATTCATGGGGACTTCTTCATCAGACAGGTAAGGGCCAAAGTTCAACATTATCTTTGTTTTGGTTTTTTACATTTTAAAGAACTCTTCTGTAACCTTCAACATTGATCAAACCTCCAATGTCTTTGAGACAACCAGCCTACTTTCTGGTTGGTATCTTCACATCAAAGGTTTCAGCTACACTTATCCCAAAATAAAAGCCTTTTTTGTGCTCCTAACTTGTCAACACCTTGTTTTTCTGATGGTCTAAGGATTGGAAGCACAGGCCTCTGGGCCACAACACACCACATTTAACTCGGACTGCCAGCGGCACGTTGTCACTGCTTGTCTTTGTTGTGGATTACACGCCATCCTCTTATTTCTGTAGGTCAGAAAATGGCTTTATTCCTAAATGCTTGTATACCTAAGGAGGCTGTGGCAAGAACTCTGAATCAGAACAGATTCTACACATGGAAACATCAGGGCTCTTGCTTATCTGCAAATTCCTGGAATAGAATGGAATTTTTAGGGATTGTTTCAAGTATGACTGGCCTCAAAATCAACTTGTTTGGAGATTGAGATTGGAGATGGAGATTGAGTGAATAACTTGGTCATATGGGGTGCTGTTTAAATATGGCTGTGCTTTTGTTGTGTTAATATTAGGTATAAAACAATCAGATTAATCAATTATTGAAATAAACGTCAATTAATTAAGTAATCGATTAATCGTTAAATGGAGTATAGAGACTCTGTAAAACGTTTCCTTAGCTGACAGAGCAACAGACTCAGCTTTTTTTGCCAGAGGGAAGGGAGCCAAATGGCGCTTTGTAGAGGGTTGACCCTTTTTTGAAAAAAGAAACATGTTAGCCTGGTATTTTTTTGTGGGAAAGAGGCTTAAGTTATACCATTTCAATTTTTCCAATATATAAAAAAAGGATAAGTTAAATAGTGCAGGTTTTAAATTCTATCCAATAGCAATGCAGTGCTGTCAGCAGACCAGGTTGTCATAGAAATGATGAGAAAATGTTTCAGTCATCGGGGACTTGAGATTTGACTTGGACATGGAATAAAATGACTTGCAAAGATCTCACGAACTACATTGTATGTTATTTAGAAACCCTAATGTGGAAACCTCTGGAAAATGATTTGTTTGTTGATTTCCGGTAAGTTGATTGACAGTTTTGTGATAGATGGTCTGTTTTAGAGGGCTCTGAAATCCCACTACAACATTCTTTTTATTTTTATTGTAGGTCTAAATGAAGGAGCGCAGAGAACTTGAAATATATTCATTATTTATGTTAACCAATCTTTTTTTTTTTTTCACCCTTTCAACTGGTTCCAAACCTTATTTATGGAGCTCAACCCCCTTAAACTCTGTAATTCACAGTGATGTTAATAATATTTACTGCAGTGGACAGATATGCTTTGTTTAAACAGGATTTACTGGTGCCAACGCCACCTGGACATGTTTGCAATATCTCTCATTTTATATGCTTAGAGACCTCACTTGCCCTCTTCATATTAAAACTGCAAAATCCATCTACATATTTACCCTGAGGTTGAATCAGAATGTATTCAACAGCTCAAAAAACAAAAATTATACAAAGAGGCAACACAAGTCTTTTTGAGGGGGCACAGCCGCAGGCTGGGAGGGAATTCATTTCTCTGTTTTGGTCATGGTAGCCCTTTGCTCTATGAAGCCAGACTGTAAGAGGAAGACTGAGCGACAGCAGAAATGTTTACCCTCCTACTTTTGGCTAGCTAATGTGTGGCCACCTTTTCTCAGATAGACTCACTCAGCTTCTCTACAGCTGCTGCAGGAGCGCCTACTGTTTGCTCATGGCTGTGGTACACGCTGCCCAGTGGCCCAACTTTCATGGATGGAGCACAGTGAAGGTCCACCACATATACTCAGCCTAGTTTTATTTTTCCAGTGCCACTGAAGAAGCTCAATATATCAACCAAACATAAGTGTCTGAATTAGGGGTGGGTATTGGCAAAGAAGTCACGATTCGATTCGAATCACGATTCACATGCCACGATGCGATTCTATCACGATGTATCACGATACTTGAAATATTGCGATGCATTGCGATATTTTCACTGAACACTGTAAGAAAAAGATACAGCTGACTGAAAGCAACTGAATTCATACATAGCTGTATTTATTGAAATGACTTTTGGAGGTGTTGCCATGAAAACAAATACTGGACAGAAATATTACTATTACTGGCGTAGACACACTGACAAAAAGATCTTAGGATTCATCAAACTTAAAATAACAAAATGAGGATAATCAGTGCCGTTTACATGGCCTCAGTGGTCCTTTAAACCAATTAAATGAAAACATTCAAATGTATGACATTTCCCCTTTTGCAAATTACGTGCATCATATCAATTTCGTTTTTACCTTCTTTGTTTTTAAAGCCACAATGCATCCAAGCATCTGACTTGAAATGTGACGGAGCCGGGGGGCGAATTTTCTCAGTCTCCTCCATATTTTGTTTACGAATGACTCGTCTCAGTATCCCACGGCCGGACATGCTTGTGACACAAAGCAGCAGGCCTCAACACATCCGCAGCGACATCTGCTGGACTGGAAGTTGTATTCAGATTGGTTTGATTGATGTGCGCCAACCATTAATGTATTTTATTTGTTAATTTTTTTTTTTTAAATAATCGATTCTTGCCTTCAAGAATCGATGCCGTAGATCACAAAAATTAGAATCACGATTCATCGATTTGACGATTATTTTGCACACCCTTAGTCTGAATGCAGATTCTGCAATGTCCATTAAATGCCAGCAGACATGAGTTGATATTTAGAAATATATTCTACTAAAATTCTCGTTAGCTTTTTAAATGAAGATTTTTGCTTCTGTATTATGTGAAAGAAAAATCTTTATGTTGTTAGATTAGGGGAAATACAAAAGGATGACAAAAAAATTTCTTCCTATAGATTCTAGCCTTATAAACCAGACTAAATGTGAGATTAAATGTATAATTTAGTCTGGCCCGGATGAATGAGACATCGGAAGATTGTTTATGAGAACAACCCGTTATCTTTCAAACCATGTCTGTGCCTATTGGCCAACGTTCACACCAATGAGCGCAACTATGACTGAGTGTAAACAAACAGCATGTCGGTAAAACGGCGAATACGTCCTTTTATTTAAAATTTATGAGAGTAGAGCCTCTTCCTGCTCTTGTTTCAATGAAAACCCCAAGTCTAATCCATCAGTCCATCAGAGCCAGCAGTCCTTCACACACGACTATGCCGAGAGAGGGCCGCTGCAGACTGGCTGCGGTTAACCCTGGCTGCCGTTGGCCTTGGAGGTATGCTGGTTGCTGCGGTCCTCTCAACTTTGGGAATTGCTTTTTTAATTACGCATTAAATTAAATCGGTGAGTGGACCATATAGTGACACTTTAAAGTTTAATATTCCAGTCTTAAATGGTCTTAAAACATACTTCTATTGAACAAATTCAACAGAAAAGAGAACTTTTAGCTTTCAATGGAGCGCTCCATTGAATGCTGCTGCTGCCGCAGTGCATGCTACTGTTCAATAGTTGGTGCCATCTTCCTTGTTGTGCTTTCTCCAGCGTCGCACAGCTTTGTCGTCACGCCCTCAAAACCCCGCCCGCTTTGCACCCAAAAATTCAAAACACATCTCTGTGTTGTGATTGGTCCGACAGTTCTTGGGCCTGGGGCATTGATCGAGGCTAGACCACTCGCAGGCAAAAATGATTTTGGCCGCTGGAGGTTGGGGCTAGTTTACCAGGCTATATAGATGCACCTTTTGCATATTTTTCTGTATATTTAAGAATTTTATTCCTCAGTTAATAACTTGGTTTTGTATTTTCAAATGTAGACAGATACTTTTTATCTCTACATCTTTAAAATAATTACAGTAGCCTTTCATGTATTAGCTACTGCTGATATAAATACCTCAAGTTCAAAATCATGTTTTTTTTAAATCATCTCAAATAAAATCTGCTTAGTTATAATGTGCCAATTCACAACTCATTTAATCTCAAGGTACTTTTACAGTCATTTCAATCAAATCATCCAGAAAGGTTAGATATTTTATCCTAGGAAACATCATTGAGTGGAATTTCTTGTGTTGGTTTTAGCTCAGCTAAATGTCAGTTAAGTAAACTAATTAAAGGGAGCAGGAGCTCAGCCAAAAACGCTAAACTGTTTGTAGACTTGAGAGACAGTTGGCTGAAAATCAGATTGGACCAGGTGATGAGCTGGTCCCATCAGAACCTTTGTATTTGCGTATCCTCCGTGGAGGAAACCGTTTTATCTGCGGCCAAACTGCAACAGTCACAGACGTCTCTTATAAAGTGTCGAACCTCCTCAGCGTCGTCTGTTTTAACAGGAGCCCAGATTTTCCATTGGATAAATGAATTGTCGTTTTACCCCCTGACTGTAGTAGTGCAGCACTTGTGTTGTATCACATTACCTCTGCACTGACAAACAAATATGCTCACATGGAGAGCTGGCTGGTTGAGCTAATACATTTAAAATGGCGTTTGACCATGCCTAACTAAAAATCGATAGTTTCTCCTCATCCTGTCCTTGCTAATGCATTTATCTTGTCATGGCCATCTTGGTTTGCATCCATTTCAGTCGTGGTATTAAAGACAGTGAAAGTGGTTTAAAATGAGCGAACGTTGAATCGGCATTTTTTCCATTTCTGTGGTTGAATCTACTTTAACCTGAACAGCCTCGTGTAAAATTAACCGAAGGGTTAAAAATTGTCAGGATAGACAATCCGTCTCTGTCCATCTATCTTCTTTACTATCATTAATATACTCTTTTGTCCATTTTTTAAAGCTCGATGTATTCTATGCATTTATGCCTTATCATCCATCGGACCATGTTTATCTAATCATCTGTAGCCCATCTACCAGTTAATTTGTTATGTACATCTTTTTATACTTTGAATTTATCCACCTATTAGTTAATTCATTTAATAGCCAACCATCCATCCTCTCTGCCCCCCATTGTCTGTTTTTTCATGTTCTGCATCAAAGCACTGACCTCTGCCGATATGATTGTTGTATATTAGTATTTATATAACATGTAGTATGAATACTTTTGCGAAGGCTAGGCAAAACATTGCATTTGTAATATAAATATAATTGAACAAAACACAATTTTACAAAGCAAGTGGCACCCAGTTTTGGCCTCATCACATTTAGGTGGCTAAAATATGCTTGGTGTGACTTTGTCGCCACTCAGAAGGGATCCAGATCCATTCATGCAGGCAGATGGAAGAACTTTTCCACACAACAGTAAAGTCCTGCACCAATGGACTCTAGACAGTGAGTGCAGAAGAAAATAAAAATAAAGTGTAAATTTGGTTATATCGTTCAGGCCTAATTACTGCTAAAGGTTGCTAAAACAATATTGATAAAAATTTAGCCATATTTTCGACTTAATTTTCTTAGTTTTTTTGTCAGAAAGTCCCCAACGCTTTTTCTGGGTTTTAGGCTCACTGCCACTAAAATATATAAACCTCTAGTGGAGGCATCAAAGGAAGAGAAAGTCTAATAAATGGGCTAAATACATACTTGAACATAATGAACCAGTAAACAGGCAGACATTTTGTTTTCCAAACACTGGCGATTCGAATTTCATTCGAAATCCCTTACACTGTGCTGCTTTCATTTGTAGTGAAAATGGGGCCAAAGCTCACAAAGAAGGCTGGATATTTTAGATTGTTTTGTCTTTAAAGATGTGTCAGTCTGCTGCAGTGTCATTAAACCATTCTTGCTAAACCCTCTACACTTATATGCATGTTTCTGTTTTTGTTTTTTGATCAGGGTAAAGCTCACAGAGACAAGCAGCTCGTCTACTTGAGGGAGCATTTAGAAAAATACTACCACAGCCGCGACAGGAAGTGGATAGTGCTCTTCCCCGAGGGAGGCTTCCTCAGGAAGAGGCGAGAAACCAGCCAGGTGTTTGCAAAGAAAAACTCTCTCCCTCACCTGACCCATGTGACGTTGCCTCGCCTTGGGGCAACTCATGTCATTCTGAAAACTCTGACCGCTCAGCAAGAGAACGGCAGCGTGGGCAGCGACACCTCGACCCGGAACCAAACAGGTAAACGAAAGAAGTTTTCTTAGCAACTGAAACAAACATAGCTGACATTCGGCTTTATACAGTAAATGTTAATCCTGAGGAAAGATTTTTACTATTTTTAAATCCTTTTTGTTTCTGTGAACTCCTCCTGGCACAGAGCCCTGTCGTTTTTTTTAACAAATGTTTAATGTCCGTTGCTCAGCTGGTGAAGACGCATGTATGAAACAGCATTAAGTTGCTTGCTTCATGCACTGTTTACCGGCCGTTCTGCTTGTAAATGAGATGTGACTTTTAAGACTGGCAGGAGAGGAAAGAGGTGGCACGGACTACAGTACCAGAAATTGCATCACTGTTCCTGAAAAGCCCCAGCGGTTACTTTGAAGAGAGTGGTTCTTTTTCTGTGTGTCAAGAGACCAGCCCTAAATACAGCCACTGTGCAGGAAGATAATGGAGAAATTAACAGGATTGAATGTCAGAATTTTCTCAGTTTTGAACAACAGGTCTTTTTTTTTATTTATTTATTTTTTTTACTGCTTACTAAAAGTTGGACTCTCTTTAAAGTTGGCAAGATATCTGTGGTCCTACTCTTTAGGTAGTCCTCAGGAAGCATTGCATCTTTCAAACCATAATCTAGAGAATAGATGTGATCCCCACCGGCGTGCAAGGTTGCACCCTTTGCCCAATAGGTTCCCATCTCCTATGTGCTGTGCTAGTAGCTAATAGAAGAGAGCTTGGATTGGTGTTATTAAGAGAGTGGCTCATAGCTTCCACTCAGCTCTGTGTTTCACCACCTCAACAGTAACGGCCAGATGCCTTCTTTTTATTCTCTCTGCAGGCCAGACAGTGGGTCCAGAAAAAAGAAGGGTGGTTTCTTCTGTTGTAAAGTGAAAATATCTGCCTTAGAATTTATTTATTTATTATTATTTCAGCAACCTTGTTTGTTTTGAGGGGGTTAATAGGAAAAATAAGGAGAAAGTACCTTTTTTAGCTTTTATTCTCACTTACAGGGCTCGATGTAAACCATCGCCCGTGGCAAGTAGTTTTTATTGTCGGGATAGTACAAATTTTATTGTATTTGCCTGCCGGGCAAGTTCAATGATTGAAAAAAAAAAAAAAAAAATTATCGCTCAAAATTACTTTAAAATCACCGGCATTCGCTGAAAACGGCCCACAAGTGTTGCCGGCACCATTTTTGTTGTTTTGTACACATTCTCGCGTGATTTGAAAAAGACTCTGCAGCTGGATGATGAATTTAATCTATACTATAATACACGCAAAATTTAAAAATGATCAGTCAGGGATTAGGAAAATAATAATAATTGTATGCGAACAGTGTAAATATTTCTATGATATGGCAGTCTTCTTTACAGTGGTCATACATTTAAAAAATGTTCATTACATTTTTTTCTCTTAGACATTGGAGTGGTGCATTTAAATGTTATAGAGCTAAATATGCTAAATTGGTAAGTAGTAGTAGTGGAAGTTTTTAACATGGCATGTTTTTTTTAGATTTTTAACATTACAATTTATATTTTTCCAAGTACACAGCAGTTTAAAGCAAAGTTAAGTTTGAAAAGAACGTGCAGGAAGGATTGAAAAGAATGTTAACACGGTAATGTAGGATTAAGTTCATTATCTGTCCCATGCATATACACACCAGGAACCTGTAAACTTAAAAAATACTGATTTACAAAAAAACATGTAAAAAACAAACATGTTTCATTGATATATATATATATATATATATATATATATATATATATATATATATATATATATATATATATATATATATATATACAAAAATGAATATTAGGAACTATATTTATCAAACATTATACTGGGTAAGTAAAAATTGTTTCTGGGCAAATGAAATGTGAAAGCCACTTGCCCAAAGGGCAACGTCAACCCCTGACATATCTAAATCAAATTTTGTGCAAACTTTGATCTTCATATGTCACTAAACTAGCGAATCCACTTGTGTTTAGTTTATCCCACACTTAATGCACCTTATCAAGGAGAGCTTTAAAGGTTTGGTAGAGAACATTGGTGAACACATTTAAAACGGCTCTCAGTGACTCTGGAGGAGCTGCAGAGATGTCAACAAGGGAACCAAAGCAAAAATGTAAATAATCCTGAATTAACCCCAAACATCTCTCTGAACGTGTCATTCTCTCTGTGAAACATGGTGGCAGTGGCATGAGAGATGATTTGGGTTAATGAGAAGATAGCTGGAAATACCTTTAAAGCAATGAACCTAAGAGATGGTCTACGATAAAGAATTTAATTTCAGTGTTAAGTTTTTAAAAAACAGAAAAGGTTTCAATTTACTTAAGAGACTTTTAAGGCGCTCTATGTTGGTGGTTATATTTCATAAACTCATCAGATCACGTCCTGGCTCTTCATTCATGCCTCCTCTGAGAAGCAGCAGCTCAGGGGAAGAAGAAGCTCCTGCATAAGGACTTGTCCTTCAGCTTAAATTTAGCTAATAATGTTTTTTTTTACCATGGGCAAGAAAACACTCCTACCCAGAAGCATGCTCATAGTGCCCCTCACTGTTCTGTCCTCTCTGTGCACCAGATCAAAGACGCTGCTCTGTCTCGCTCTGACCCTCCCTGATGCTCTGCAGAGGTGCCCTGAGCTTGCTGACTCACTGAGAGACAAATGGGGCCACTTGGAGAAAATAGGATTTGATGTAAATGTGCATGCAGCTTTGTTTCAGCCATGCAATGTCATCCAAGCTAAACGCACCGCTGCACAGGGGTCAGATTCTGCAGAAAGGCTCCATGTGCCTTGAAGACCGATAAGATTTATGTGTCATTATAAAGGTGTGTTTGCTGTTTCAGATAAGCAAAGGTTGAACATTGGAGCCGTTTACCATCATGGGTTTGCGGTTCATGCGTTGTAACTGGCCAGCTATATGGCCTGATGGAGCCAGATATCTGTCAGCGTAGCTCCCTCCTCTCTTTACAGAGGGCAGGGTCTATCCGATGTCATTTCAAATTACTACGACTGCTGCTTTTACAGTATTGTTTGTCATTCCTTGGAAGCCACCAGCAAACCTTGGCTCCGGCCTCACCTCTCTGGATGGAAGCAGATCTGCATCACACCGCCCTCACAGGATTAACACGGCCGTTTCCTTCAATACCAGGAGTGGCTGTCAAGTCATTTAGACACATAGCTAACCAGACTGCTTGTTGCCCCCTTTCTGCCTCTTCCCTGTAGGATAGTAGCATAACTGACACAGGCATGTTAGATAAACAGAGGTGTGTGCTGTCAAAGGTCAGGCTTTCCTACAGAGAACACATCTGAAATGAAGGTTGGAGCCTTCAAACTCCTAAACAGAAGCAATAGCCAAACAGTGAAACTTGGTTAGAGAGAGAATGCATGGAGAGTAATTAATAAGGAAGCTCGTTAACAAGACAAAGAAGAAAATATAAAAGATATTTGTAAATGTTAAAGTTAGGAGAAAGCAGCCCCACCTTTTTAAGATGCACTTTTCCTCTCCTCACAAGCTGCGCTTCCATCGACCCTTTATAGGGCTCTCAGTAAAATACTTAAACGATCTAAATTTCAATTCAAGAGTGTTATTGAAGGACAGAACAAGACCTTATAACTCTTGTAACTTTAAAAAATAAGTATATATTGATGACAAAAATCAAGGTCAATGTAAAAACTCGAAATGGTCTTTTGTTTTAACATATTAAGAAAAATCTCTATAAGAAATTAATGAAAAACATTGAAAGAAACACAGTTTTTATATTGCAACATAACCTTGGAGCATTAATGCTGATACAGGCACTTACAATTTATTCTTTTTAATTTGGCTCATTAACTTTTTAACTTTTAAATTAGGTTTTTCATCTTATTAACTTTTTTTCAATTGAGTTTATAGTAGGTAAAATGTCACCCTCATCTAACCGGTCAAATGCAAAACTGACATGTACTGCGATATAGTTACATTTGACATATAGATACATTTGTAAGGGGTATGCAAGTAATCCAAAACGGTAAAGCCCTATAAAGGCTTTACCATCAAATTGCTCAAATTCTAATAAATTTTTTTTATTTTTTTTAAATGGAAAGACTGTATTTTCGAAAGGGCTCTGGTTTTCAATTTTTTTACCCTTTTACCCTTTTTTTTTAACCTTGAAATTATCATATTTAGAAACGGAAACATGTTTAACACTAAATGGGTCACGTGATCTGCAGCTGGACCTTACTGCCTGACAAAAAGATGAGGAAGAGCGGAAGTATTATAAGAATTAGAGGATGATGTTGCGGCTAATTTGGATTCATAAGTATTTTTTTTATATTTAGCTTGTGACGAGGACTAGTGTTGGCTAAAAATATGGATATATCTCACTTGTTTACATCCAACACTGCTATGCTGTGCAGTTTTAATCCTATTTTTTATTTAGTAGAAATACTGCATTGAGAAAAATTTAGATTTTTTTTTGTAATCAGTAGAATATTTTCATCGTTTTTTGAACACTTTGTAATGGAAAAGCAACCATAATTTGGTACCATTTGGTGTTGATTGAGCACAAAATATTAAAACTCTATGATTTGAAGTTGAGGGTTGAAACATGACAAAATGTAAAAAAATAAATAAATAACGAAGCTTAAAGGGTTTGACTTATTTTGATGCTCTAAAACAAAACTTGTAATTATCCCGATAAATTGCCTAAATACTGTATTAACCTGACAAAATCTAAAAGTATTTCCTCATGTAGACGCATAAAAACTATTTTTCTTTTTCTTTTTTACATTTTTTCCTTCACATTAAAAGGGTTGCAGTTTCAATGCTTCATAAGAGAGTTTTTAAACAGAATAAGATAATTTTTTTTGTGTTTTCAGCTTTATTAGCGGTTCAGTCAGACTGCTGTTGGGACAGCAGAAAGGTCCAGCTACTGTTCATAAGACACAACAGGGTTGCCAATAGTCTGGAAAAATCTGATCAGTAAAACATGATGTACCGAGCCAGAACTCTTTGTAACGTTCCCTTCACGTTGTTCAGC